CCCCAAGTACCTGAAGAGGACATTCTTGGTGCACCCCCTTGTGGTCTTTGTGCACAGTCTTGTTGTAGTTAAGCCTTGATTGTTGTAGTTAACACTGGAAGGGATTTGACCTCCAGGCCAACTGGCTGTTGGGAGTGTATTTTTCTTCTTCTTCTTTTCTTCCATAGTCAAAGGCATTTGCTTGTTGGTTTGTTTTAAATACTGCAATGTGATCTTAGCAATATTCTGAGTAATCAAGAGAGAAGGTTCAGTTCACACGTCCATCAGGGCAAGTGTGGGGGTGAGGAGTGACCGGAAGGCTGGGGGGTGGGTGTGGTGAAAAGGTGGGGAGGAAACACAAACACTTAGAGGAAACCACAAAGACATGGCAAGCAGGAGCCCCGATCCACGTGACTCAGCAAGATGGCAAGTGACAAGGATGGGTTAGAGGCATGCAGGTAAGCAGTCCACTGCAGTCCTCTGCAGTCCTCAGGGTGTCTGGGGCAGTCACCTTGGTACACAGCCCCCACTGCGAACCCACTGTTGGGGGCTCTCAATAGCTAGTCACTACAGGGAAGTGACATCCCAAAGCTGGGGGACTAGATCGATATTTACAACAATCATATTTGAAAAGTCAAACAAAATCAAATTGAAGCTGCTGGCGGTCAATTCCAGCATGTCATAATTTCAAGAGTTTCATCAAAAGGTTGATGAGACTTGGGGACTCAACAGGGTTGAGTCACACATGTAGTCACCTGTTGAGAATGGGTAAAGGCATTGCCCCAAACCTGAATAGGATAATACATTAAACTGTTTGCTGCTGCCAGACAGTTAAAGGGCATCTTAATCTACATGTTATTGCCTCCTACTGGCCAAACATTTAAACAGCCGTAGGTTAATTCCCCCATTCTGACAATGGGCTCTGTACCAAACCCTGATCCTTTGAAGTGTATATCCCTGCCTTGCCTCAGGACAAGTTGTGTTAATAAAAAGCATGGGGTCCTGGGGAGGAGAGAACCTAAGGCCTTAGACTTAAGAACTTAGATCTTAGCTCCTTTAGCTAAGCTCCTCTGACCCCCCAATGCCTTTCAAAATTATAACTCTTCTCAGGGCTCTTCATTAGTCTCTGGATTCCTATTGAATCTATGCACAGCCTTCTCCAGATTCCTGAACCCTTCTTGATGCTGGGACAAGAACCCCAGCAGAAGCAGTCGAGTTGATTTCATATTTTCAGATAGTACCTGCTCTCGAAATGTGCTTAATCACATTATAAATTAAGTGAATGCTGTCTAGATGCTGCGGTTTGAAATGTAGGTTAAAAGTGACATCTAGTGGGAAGGTGGAGAATTGAGTTGAAAATGTTGACAAGCTGATTTTTCTTTCTTCCTCCTGTAAAAACAATGACATTGTGTTACATTACAATGGGAGTAATCATACCTTATCTTACACTGCTCTCTCCCAATAAAAATTAAAATTAGTACCTGGGAAAACAAAACAAAATAAAAAAATACCAAAGCATAAAATTTCAGTCAGATGAAAAGCTTTTCTTATTGTTGAGTATTCAACAATATGTGGGCAGTTAAATTACATTTTATTAGCATAAAGTTGCATTGCATTCTCCCGACATGATAATCTAACTCAATTTCTTAAATAAGTACCACAAAAAATTCATGTTTGGATATTTCTACACAATTTTAAATATATGTAAGAGTTCATGTTTACATTCTGATTTGATATACTGGTCAACATAATCTTTGGAGAAATATGTAACTTCCAGGTTGCCACTAGAACTATAAATAGGAAAAAAGTACTTTAACTTTTCTCACAAGGTAACTTCTCTTGAACAATGAGTTAAGTTTCTCCTTTGATATATTTAGATTATACAAGACTATGTGGCTTTCTTATACTTACAATAACTTCATAAAACAATGCTTTAAAAAACCTCACTCACACTTCTGCACAATTTAGGCTCTATTTTACAAAAAATAGAGTGTCATTATACTTTGTGTTAAGAACTCATTTTTTTTGGTTGATTTTTCTTTGTTAAATGGTATTTAAATATATAAAATAAATATCAAAAATATAAGTCTTTGTTTTACTATGGTTGCAAATATCAAAAAATTTCTATATGCGACACGGCACCAGAGTTAAGTTAGGGTTTTTCAAAATGCTGACACGCCGAGCTCAAAAGGTTCGCCATCACTGATCTAGAGGGTCCTGGGTGGCAATTACTTATATTAAACATGAAAAGTGACTTAAAAAACCTCACACTTCTGCACAATTTAGGCTCTATTTTACAAAAAATAGAGTGTCATTATACTTTGTGTTAAGAACTCATTTTTTTTGGTTGATTTTTCTTTGTTAAATGGTATTTAAATATATAAAATAAATATCAAAAATATAAGTCTTTGTTTTACTATGGTTGCAAATATCAAAAAATTTCTATATGCGACACGGCACCAGAGTTAAGTTAGGGTTTTTCAAAATGCTGACACGCCGAGCTCAAAAGGTTCGCCATCACTGATCTAGAGGGTCCTGGGTGGCAATTACTTATATTAAACATGAAAAGTGAATGAATTCTCTTTTTATCCTTACACACACACACCACAAAGTGTTCTGAGTTTTAGTCTCAATCCTGCCATTGACTAGCTGTGACCCTGAGAAATTCACCCCATTTCTCATATGTAAAAGGTAAAGAAGACGATTGTCCTCAAATGTATCTTTGAGCTATCATGTGAGTATAATCTGTATATTTATAAAACAAACAAAAGCCCCAAACCATGTTTGTAAACAACTCAGAGGATCCTGAAATGCAAAGAGGATAGTGGCCAACTAAAGGTCCCTGGGATACACTTACGCTCTCAACAGAGCTTTTTACATTTGGCCAATACTGACAGTGACCTAAGTAGGGAACCCAATCTGAGAAAGCATGAGAAACTCTTCTTCTGTATCTGGGAACACACACACACCCACACACACACACACATACACACACAGTGAGCCAGAGGGCGAGAGAGAGAGAGAGAGAGTTTTCTGTGAGTTTAGTTCTGGACTCAGTGCCCAGGGCCATACACAGAGATGATGAGCTCTTATGAGAAATAATAAAAACTTCTCTGGGGAAGTGTGTATATTTAAACGGGAAAGTGGGATAGTACACGAACAGCTATGTTTCTACAACTATTCTCATGCTGGTAGACCATGAGTGGCTCTTCCTTTTGGCTTTTTTGCACTAACGATAGAAAATTAAGTTAGCAAGTAGAAGAGTTTACATTTTTAAAATGTGCTGAAATATTAATGGTAGAGTTCATATATGTGTGGCAGTGATGAATCAGTGAAAACAGTGACAGTATTGATCCTTGAAACAATGAGCATCTGTTAACCCCTAATATCCAGTGGGGCCCAATGATGGAGCCTCCACACAGGTGTCTGGGTGGATGCAGAGATGTGCAGAGTTACCTGCCAGGGCCACTCACCCTGAGTAGACTCCATTCCTCTAGCAATGCTGACCTTGATTTTGGTTGTGCATTCTACAACAGAAGGATTGCAGTGAGTAGTTTCCTAAATCTTCATTTTCTATCAGTAGTTATGGTCCTTCAGGCACAAAAGGAAGAAACTTTCCCTCTATCCAGTCATTTACCATGACACTGAAGAAATGTTATCATCAAGTTTGCAAAGTAAAACATGCACATAAAAAAATGAATAAGTCACCTGGTCATTATATGCCCCTAAGGAATCCATCATCTGCTACTAAGAGGCAATCTTATCCTCCCTCTAATGATATCCCCAATTGTTCTTGTTTTTTAAAATATATTTTTATTGATTTCACTAGAGGCCCAGTGCATGAAAATTCATGCACTTGGGAGGAAGAGGGGATACCTCAACCCAGCCTGCTCCCTCTCACAATCCTAGTCCTGGCCTGAGATCAGGGCCTATAGGGACTTTCCTTCCCTGGGCTGCAGGCAGCTGGCCCCAACCCCACTGCTGCCACTGCTTGCCATCTGTGCAATGCTGCTTCCCCGCTGCTACCAGTGGCCTCCCTTTGCAAGCAACAGGCATGGGGTGCGATGGCTTGGCTAGCCTGGGCCTCCCTCTTTCTTTGCTTGGGGGTGTGGTCAGCCTGGAAAGGGGCTGTCTGCCTACTGATCACCCCTAACTGCTGTCTGCCTGCCTGATCACCCCTAACCACTCTGTCTGCCTGCCCCTAAATACTTGCTTGGGGGCAGGGCGAGGTGTCATCTGCATACCTGATTGCCCTTAAATGCTGGCCTGCCTACCTGATTGCCTGTAACCACTTGTCTGCCTACCTGATCACCCCTAACCACTGGTCTGCCTACCTGATCACCCCTAACCACTCTGCCTGACTGCCTGATCACCCCTAACTGCTTGTTTAGGGGCGGGGCTAGCCCGGGAGTGGCTGTGGTGGTTCTGGTCTCTGGTCATTCCAGTCGTTATGCTTATGGTGGCTGGCCTTTTATTATATAGGATAGAGGAAAGGAGAGGGAGAGAGAGAGATAGAAACATCAGCAATGAGAGAGAATCATTGACTGAATGCCTCCTACATGCACCCTACTGTGGGTGGAGCCCACATCCCAATCAAACCCTGACCTTCCGGTTCATAGATCGATGCTCATGAACCACTGAGCCATGCCAAGTGGGCCCTGGTTGTTCTTTTAAATTAATCAGTTGCTTGTCACGTGTCCCTCCCAGATCAATAACATCACCTGGGAATTTGTTAGAAATGCAATTTCTTGAGTCCCAACTCAGACCCAGTGATCAGAATTTCTAGTGGTGGAACCCAGTAATCTGACTTTTAATCAGCTTCGCTAAAGTTTGAGAACTACTGCTATAATAAAAAGTTGAGCAGCCCCCACTCAGTATGTCCAGTTCTCCCCCATTCTCTCCCCCTTGGGCTGACCTTTGGTCCATCACTCCTATTCCAACCTGGGATGCTTTCCTGTTTGTGAGCTGCTTCTGCCCTTTGGCCTTGTTGACAGTTTGGGGATATCTGATGCAACTCTTGATACCTTTCAGGGACTTTGATTCAGAGTTATCCCCTGTGTTTCTTTCCTGTCTTGGATGCCTCAAGCAGGAGAATCCATTCTATTTCTACGTCCTGAGATGCCAAACACCAGACCCTACCCTCCTGGTTGGAGGCTTGGGCAAATCTGCTCCAATAACCTACATAGAATGGGAGTGAGAACCTCATAAACAACATTTTTCTAGAGCAGTGCTTTTTGTCTCAGTGGGTATATGGGTCACCTGGTTGTTGTTATTTTTTAAATGCAGATCTCGATTCTGTGTCTAGCATTATATTTTGTGTTAAGAAATATTTCCTTGGATGGCAATTTTTCTGTATCTTCAGAAAGTTTAGTTGTATTATAGATCAATGACACTACAAGACATAATAAATATCTTGAGTAGACATTTCCGTTCATATTAGGATACTATTTCATCTAATAGAGTGCAGCAAAATCTAATTATCTTGTGCTGCTTCATTCAGAAGGTCCATTAAGAAGACATAAAGTTTTATTTTCCCTTATCTTACATTTTCTGCTTTAGCTATCAATTACACCTGATACATTCTGTAACCTTTACAGAATAGAGTTCATATTGTCAACAGAGAAGAACATAATGAAGGAAGGAGGGTGCAGAATGGATTCTGCAATTTAAGGCATAAGTGCTGGTTCCTATTTTATAAACTATGTCGACTTCACTAACAACATAATTTGCTATGTCCCTTTTAATGCTTGGTTAAACTAAAATAACAGAACTATAAATACTCCTTCTTCTCTTTGGTAAACTTATTGTGAGGAAAACAGGGAATGTATGAGATATAACTGCCTTGACTGACTGTAAAGAAGAAGGAGACATCCAAAGATTCCCATGAGGGCCCCTGGACATTAAATAATAAAAGCCTTAAATCACGTGATTTTATGTAAATCAATAAATCCTAAAGGTATAATAGGGTGCGATGGTATTTTAAGGAGTGTGTGTGTTACACTTTTTCCTGCTGGCGATTTTATCTTTTAGGTTAGCAATTTTTAATTAACGTGCTGCAAGAACTTCTAAAACATGCAAGAGCTGACTATTTAGTCAGAGGTACTGATCTCTTTTTCCTTAGATTATAAAAAAAATGATAACAGTCAACACAACAACACCCGTTGTGAATGAATCAAAATTGTACCTATTTTTTGTCAAATCAGCAAAATTTTTTATTTTTTATTTTTATTTTATTTTATTTTTATTTTTGGTGTGGGGCAGAATTTTGGTAATTCGTTTATGTGTGCCACGAGATGGAAAAGCCTGACAATCACTGGCTTAGATAATCCTGTTTGCCTACAAACCATTTCTTGCTATTATTCTCAGAATTGGCCACTGGGCTGGAAACACTGCTGATCAGAGTTTTACTCTAATTTTTATGTTATAAGTCTTGTTTAATCTAGACAAATCTTTTATTTCCACTCCCTATGACAAATTAATGTTTTTCCAGTAATTTTTGTGAGTATTCATAAGTATGCAGAACCTGAAATAATGAGAGCCCCTGAAAGGGAGCTACTTGAGTATTTCTTGAATAGATTCCTAATTTTTCAAACATGTGATGGTTGTTTATGTTTCAATTAAAGATCAAGTAATGGCCAATGGGAAGAAAATGAATAATTTGATTAACCAAGATGCTGGCTGATATTTCAATTAAAAAGGATAATAAGAAAGATAATTGGCCTCAATAACAAAAAATCAGACATGAAAGTGTTGGCCTGTCACGAGTCTCACCATGAAATACGAGTTGCATAAATGCAGCAAATTTTTTATTTTTATTTTATTTTACTAGGCAATGCATCCAATTACTACTAGGCAATGCAAGTTAGTCAAGGCCCATTGTTTACGGTTCAAACATGGTCAGCATGAGTGATAGAAGTGAAAATAACAGGTCATTGTAAATTGGTGTTTTTCTTACTAATTTTAATCCTCCTGTGACTATTATTGACTCTCTTTGTCATGATATAGTAAGTATAGAATAGCTCCTTCGGATGTATTTTTTTCAAGTGATGTGAAACTCACCATTATCAATCTTAACATAACCTTAATGTATATGCAGAGATGCCTCCTGTCCTATGAAGTATTTTAGTTGGAGATCCATTTGAAGAAATTTTTAAGTAACATTTACCCCTGCAGGTTGGAAACAAAATGCTATAAACATGATGCTCCTCCCAAAGAGATGGGATGGAGCAATGATGGTACCTGTTTGTGTCTTACTTCCCTCCATGGTCAGATTCTTTTTAAAAAAAAATATATATATTTTATTGATTTTTACAGAGAGGAAGGGAGAGAGAGATAGAGAGTTAGAAACATCGATGAGAGAGAAACATCGATCAGCTGCCTCCTGCACATCCCCTTCTGGGGATGTGTCCACAACCCAGGTACATGCCCTTGACCGGAATCGAGCCTGGGACCTTTCAGTTCGCAGGCCGACGCTCTATCCACTGAGCCAAACCCGTTTTGGCCATGGTCAGATTCTTGAGGCGGAAAATAGGTAAGAAAAATTTGGCAGCGGATGGTGTCGGTACACATTCTCTGGCAGGCTCCATGTCCTCTTACATCAATAGCATCCAGTTCTTCTCCCAAGAAATCAGTGTCATGGTAAAATGGAGTGTGGCAGAACACTGGACAGCAAATCACACAGCAGAGACACACAACCTTAGCTCCCATCAGTCTCCTCAGAAAAAAACTGATCTCAACCAGAAGAAAGTGTTTTCATTGTTTACCTGGGATGCTGTGCCTGCAGCTTTGTGGACTGAAACCAGAAATAGCTCTGTTCTTTTTAGTGGGTGTCCTTGGTAACCTGCTTTTAGATGTTTTAAGAAGACAAAGATTTCTAACGGTCAAAAAGGGAAATATACATGAATCATATAGAACTTATTAAAGAAAAATAACATTTTCGCAGCACATAGGTAAGTCAATTCATGTTGACATTTAATTGAGATCATTTCCTGTTTTGAAACTACTCTTCATAAATCACTGAGTCAGACCCCAGGAGCCACAGGTTGGAGATGAGTCTCCAAAACAGAACCACCTGCCTCCATAAAAAATGTGTGAGCTTGTTCTCTTGTCAGTGTTCCTAGCATCTTCCTTCTTTCTTTCCTTTCCTTCAGTGCTCCCAGCCTATCTCAAAGAAGCAAGAATTTTCATGCTACCTAGAAATCTGCCACCCTGAGCTGCTGCCAGCTTAGACAGGGAAGAGTGGAACCCACCGCTGGCTTCACATCTAAGCAGCACCTTCCTGAAAGAAGTAACTTTTCCTAATTAGCACAAAATCACAGTCCAGAGCAGTGATGTCCAATAGCATTTTCTTCATTGATGCCACCCAATACAATGGCCACTAATCACCTGTGACTATTGACCACTGAAAATGTGGCTAGTACAGCTAAGAAAATGAATACATACTTAGTTTTATTTCATCTTAATTAATTTAAATGTAAACAGCCAAGTCTTGGCTTGTAGCACCCATAATTCTCTGACACCCTGTTTTGAGGGTCAAATATGTTATTTCTCTCATAGGTATTGATTGGGAATTTTATAAATAAAATTTTAAAAGGACCAGTGATTACACAAAATAACACACTGCAAAGGTATTTTGAAACTTACTATGTTCCAAGACTTGCTCTTTGAACCTCCTTTCTTCTCTACCAGCTGTTTGCTGGTGTCACCCAAACACAGATCTAGAGTGTAAATGTATCTTCTTAATCCCAGAATTCCATTTCTAATTCCAATTCAACATTTCTCATTGAGCATCTAATAAATATCTCTCCTCTCTTTAAATCAGATCCTGGAAACATCTTCCACATCTCAGTCATTGGCATCTCCATCTTTTCAATTCTGTGGGGCCAAATCTTGAAGCTATCACTGACATTTTCTTTGACAATATACCCCAATGTGATTACTTCCCTATAATTTCCACGCTGGTCCCAATAGGGAGGGGCTTTTGTTTGTTTGTTTGTTTGTTTGTTTTTTGTGGTTTTTTTAAAATATATTTTATTGATTTCTTACAGAGAGGAAGGGAGAGAGATAGAGAGTTAGAAACATCGATGAGAGAGAAACATCGATCAGCCGCCGATCGGAACCCAGGCACATGCCCTCGACCAGAATCGAACCTGGGACCCTTCAGTCCGAAAGCCAACGCTCCATCCGCTGAGCCAAACCGGTTTTGGCTGTTTGTTTGTTTTTATCTATTTAGTTCCCTGGTGTCGAGAACAGTGCCTTGTATATAGTAGGCACCAAATAAATTGTATTGTTTGTTAAGTCAGTGAAAGTAACATATATTTTCATATGATAGAACAAGCATTTCTGAAATTACAGCCTCACTCATTGGAAAACCACCTTGCTTGATGGACAAGGAACTCTAGGGCTTCCCTTAGCTTTATTGCTCTGGGGAGCACTCTCCCCCAAAATGAGCAGCTGAGTCAAACGAATGTTAAGGGCCCTGAGAATTCTAATGTAGATAATACATACATTCCAGATTTTGAAACAGATTTAATCTTAAGGTTTTTTGGGTTTTTTTTTTTTTTTTAGTGAATCTTGTCAATGAGGGGCAAGACCTCAGCAAGTGTTCCTTTAAGGATCAAAGAAATTTCCCACACTTCATTATGGCTTCCCATGTTCATATCTCTCAGTAGGGGGGATATTCTCAAACCTCCCTACACCCCCACCCCCTCTCCCATTGATATAGGCCATCATTTCCACCTCTCTCCACTTTGGATTTGACATTTCACTGATATTTCCAGGTCTTTTTGCTCCAGGCTCAATGATCTTAAACCAGGCATTGAACTAAGCTGCCTCTGAGTGGCCATCCTTATATTCTTCTTTCCATTCAGAACTAGGCAGCTCTCCCTTTGCCAAAGATAGAGACCTCCCTAAGCTAAAGAAAACCAAGGATTCTTGGTAGTACTGGGTTTGTGGGCAGTAGCTAGGGAACAGAAAGGGAGAGGGTGAGGAATTCTATGCAAGTTTTATCTACTTTTCCAGATATTTTGACTAGATTTGTAGTTGCTCAGAATTTTTAATGGGGCATTTTGATCAGTTGTTTTTAAAAGGTAACACATGAGTCTTACTCATAACTCCTTATCTTTCAGATTCCTTTGGTGATTCTTGAGAAAAGAAGGTAAGAAACAAACAACTGGGATGGTGAGTACAAATGCTGAGACAGCCGAAGGCATCGAGAGCCATGACACTGTCGATGTTACTGTCTGCAAACCTGTACTGGGGAAAATGTCCCGAATACAAGCTGTATAGCAGAAGAAACCATATTTAGGGAATCAATTCACCAGTAGAATCTGTAAAATCTCAGTCATAGTATTTGTAAATTCCATATAAAAGAGTTTGCTGGGATATGAGGAAGAAATGAATAGGTGGAACACAGAAGAGTTTTAGGGCAGTAAAATGCTCTGTATGACACTACAATGAAGGAGGCATGTCCTTATACATTTGTTCAAGCCCACCGCATGTACAGCCCCAAGAACGAATCATAATGTAAACTATGGACTTTGCGTGATTATGATGTTCCAATGCAGGTTGATCAATTGTAAGAAATGCACTGCTCTGGTGGGAGATGTTGATAATGGGGAGTGGGTATGGTGGGGGGGTGGTAGAGAGTATACGGGAAACCTTTACACCTTGCCCTCAATTTTGCTGTGAACCTAAGATCACTCTAAAGAAATAACGTCTTAATAATAATTTTTAAAAGCTCATTTGTCTCAAAATCTTTCAAAAATTTTTATATTAGGAACACCAGAGTGATTATCTTTTAAGCTTAAATTCAAATATAAATTCTAATTATATAGGACATAATAAAATTTTTCACATGAAGAAGATAACATACCATTGGTCCATTTCATCAGTGAACATAAAATGGGTGCCATCAGACCTACCATCCGCAACTCTTTTTTTGTTTTGTTTTGTTTTATTTTTTTAGTTTTATTGCTGAAAGTATTACAAAGGGTATTACATATGTCTCCTTTTTTCCCCCCACCCTTGACAATCCCCTGATTCTTACTTAATGGTTCAGTTACCTCGTTAAGGAAATCATAGTTTACCCAGGTGAGAAAGTACACAGGATTTCAGTGAAAATCTAGACACCACTTCACTGAGCTTCATTATTCTGGTTGGTGTCCCCGTTTGGGTATTCTTCAAAAGACAGATGTTACTGAAAATAAAACAAAAATGGGAAAATATTTTATTCTTTCAAATGCAACTAAGAAAACTATCAGATGATGAGGCATTCCCACTTGGAGACTGCCTGAGCCCTTCAGCGAAGGAATTACTCTGAAAAGCACTGTTCTGCAGTCTGGACAGCTGGGTGGCGTCCCCACTCTGCCAAGACCTGGTGGATCTGTGAATTTTGCTGATGTGAATTTTCATCAGTAAAATGACAACGTGAGAGAGGGGTGAGATGATAATGGGGATGTAGAAATTAATGACGTCTCTTTTTTGTAATGCCTGGCAACTCCCAATTCCCTTGCTTATTCACACTGTGTTAAGTCTTGGATGTAAAATATGTAAGAAGATGTAGTTTCAGGTAAGCTAAAGACAAAAACACTTAAATATTAAAGATGAACACTTAATGATTAATTTGGGAGGGGTTGTTTTGTTTTGTCATTGTTTTTGAAATAAATCTTTGATACTTTGTTTGTTTTCTACTATTCTGATTTTTGTGAATGGAGAGAGCAGAAAGTTAAAATCCAAATGCTAGTCATTTGAACTTATTTCCCCATTTCCATTGGATTTTATATAGTTATAGTTGATTATACAAATCTAGAACATCTCAACTTATTTCTAAATATAAAAGTCATATTTCTCCTACCTTTTTAAAAAAGAGAGAACACAGATTAATCATTAGAGATCAAATTATTTTACATTCTAATGTAATACATTTATCCCTAAACTATTTCAAAATCCAGTAAGAGGCAGGTTAACACATTCTACATGGACTTTGGTTATTTTGTCTTCAGTAGGAAACTGTTTTTTGGAGAACTACAAGCAGTTTTGCTTTGTTTTAAATATAGGTTCAGACTATAGCCTCCTTTAGGCTGGGAATGGAATAGACAGGCCAATTTTAACTGTTTCAAATTTGCCAGTTTAAAAAGGTGGGACTTTGCATGAAGAAAACTATAAATATTTATTATAGAAACTAGAGGCCCGGTGCACAAAAATTTGTGCACTCGGTGGGGGAGGAGGGGTCCCTCAGCCTGGCCTGTGCCCTCTCGCAGTCTGGGAACACTCGGGAGATAACGACCTGCTGACTTAGGCCTAATCCCGGGTGGCAGAGGGCAGGCCCAATCCCTGGGTGCAGCCCCAGGTCGGGCTCAGAGAAGGGCCAA